CTTCAATTACAGCTCACCTGCGGAGATAATTTCTCTTCCAGAGTCGGAGATAGTTAGACGCTCCTCTTCCCCGCCTCCCCCTACGTTCCCCTCCCTTTCCGTCCTTATCCCTCTGTGGCGCACATTTTTCAATACAATTGCTAACTTGAAAATCTATTCAATTATTCATGACTTACATGAAAAACGTATGCGTGCACACAACTGAAATCTCTAAAAGCCTCGAATTTCTTTACGAGCGATCCAGGAAAAAAGGAAAAAGAGGCACCAGGCCCATTAAAATTACGGAAAAATGAATGGATAAAGCACATGTTCTTTAAAACCGAAGCCATAACGCATCGGTTTTGGATGTGAGGCCTGGGAAACTGGCTTTATAACACGAGTGATGCCTCTTGCGAAACATCTGTAGAAACCAAACTTATATCTGCGCGTACTCGGGTTCTAGTAAAGGTAAAGTTTAGGCGCGGTCTCCATACGGTTTCTATAATTCTTTCACATGGATATTTCACTCATATGTACATGAAATTTGTCCTGAGAAAGACACGTGAAAAACATCGAAGAAGCATGTAAAAGGTGTTTTGCTTCTTACACTGTGTTTTCGCATGTTTTTGACCAGTTCTTGAAGCCTCCGCATGCGCTGAACTAGAGCCTTGGCGGTGATTTTATTTTTTTCGGATCGTCTCCTTTCTTACTATGCGACATCGATCGAACAAGAAAACACCAGACGAACGAGAAGAGGAAACTTCGCCATTTTATTTTAAATTTCAAATTTGTTTTTCTCGAGAGGTTAATTAATTAGCACACCTGTACTCCATAGGTCGACCCAGTTTTCCACTCAGGCATCGAAACATCTCGAATCATTGAGCTGTTTACTGCGCCATCGAAAACAGCGCATTTTTGAGACGCTAATTCAGTCAGTTCTTACTCGCCACAGTAATCAATTAAGTGACTCGGCGAGAGTTCTAGAAACCGAAACACTCTCAAGCGAAGTTTCTTCTCCTTCAACTGATTTTCTGATTTTTTCTTAACGACAATTTCCTGACGAATGACGAAACGGGTAGCTTCATGAAGTTCGTTTTCAAGTTTAAATAAAGTAAAGAGGTCTCTGTTTTTTATGGCTGAAATATGTTCCGATCATTTCTGACTGCATAGCATGGGGAAAGATGTAGAGGAACGAAACAACAATGGGAAAAACTGAAGTAAACAATAACAAAACCAGTGTCGATAGCCATGCAGGTGATGAATCTATGAAAGCTAATTATTTCTTTCACCTTTTCTGGCGACATGATTAAAAGTCTTTGTTTCTCAAGCTCGCAGGAATTAACCCGCTTTTGCGCACAAACGTTTAGAGCTACCTTTAAGATAGCCCATTTTTTAAATTCTTCATCAAAAGGTTAGAATAAAAGGAGGAAACAAAAGCCATTAGCTCATATCTGTCGATAAACACCGAATGAATTTCACTCTGGATGGGAATTTCTGAGTAATTCCATCTTCAAAATGCCCTCCAAAATATTTAATTCCTCTAAAAAAACTGAAGGCGTCGAACATTATTGTTTGCAGTTTATTTTGATGTTTTTGATTGATGTGTTTTCATGATCATGTCAAGAATACATTTTTTACTTAGAGATACCGAAAAGAGAAAAAAGACATAGATACGTAAACAGTCTAATTGTTAAGTGTTGAAACTTGGCGTCTCACTGCGCTGACTGCGCTGTTTGCTGCCGGGGTTATTGACATATTTGAAAACAGCTTGAAGATAAAAGCACGGTTTAAAGAAACTTGGTGTTTGCTTAAAGCATCGAAAATAACAAGTTCGTCAAGACATCAAGGTAAGCGAGATGGAGATGCAGCAATTGATGTCTTAGAATGTTATCGTTCTGTACACTTCCGATTTATCTTATTTGTCTAATTGTATTACGAACAAAAAAAACAATCTTTCGACTTTTAAGAGCAGGACAGTAAATAGAGCCACCTTTTTGTGAGATTCTTTATTTACTATTTGTATCAATGTGAGGTCTTGTTTATGTCACCCTTACTTTTTACCTTAGCAGTATAGACAAATTATTCAATGTGAATGACACATAAAAATGTGTACATATGCTAATTGAACAAAAAACGAACTCAGAACTTACAAATACACTTGACCAAGAATACTTGAGATTTAATAAACAGATCAAAATATCACCTGCTCTAAAATGTTTATGAAACAAGTCAACTTCTCAGCGGTGGGCCTGATTTTGCGGATAAACTTAAGATGAATCACAACAACACAACATTTTACACAACAAGAGAAAGAGCTAGAGCTGAGAGTGCTTTAAACTCGACGCAAACCTCTCACACTTCGACGTATTTCTACTACCCACTGGTCGTAAATTTCTTCGTTTTTATGGATGTTAATGTAAGTTTTAAATATTAGAAATGTAAATTATTGGCATACAAATAAGGAATCATGTTTCACCACAAGCTATCTACAAACCTTCTATACAAAACAAGTTACAGCAACCAGATACCCAATTTAATTCAGAGTTTGAGTCAACGATGTTACCCATCTCAGTTGCATTTTCTCACGGGAATTAAATTCCATGTTGAACCGAAGACATTTTTGTTTACTTCCCAGAACAGAAATAAAAGCAAAGAAGAAAGAGTGATAAAATAGCAATATTATCTGAGTTTCAAACAGATAACAACAGCCAGACGATTTCGCAAAAGAAAGACATTCTTACGGAACACTTGGAAAGAAGCGAAAGTTGAAGAGGCAGTTCAACTCATTACAAAAAATCCTTGTTCACTTCGTGATTTGTTTATAAACACCTTGAGAATGCGTGAGAGAAGCATTTTGCCCTCGTTTGGGGAGAAAATGAATGATTACAAAAAGTCATCACAGGTCATCCACATACTTGATTCAATTCCTGAGAACGACAACAGGGTCTCTGATCGTCTTCCCCTTTTCTGTGGTAACAAGGGCGTGAACGAATGCAAAAGAGAGAGATCAGGGCAAAGGACCGAGAAGAGGTACAACAGTTCGTGCAACGGCGTGAATCTTCCCAAGTTACAGAAAAAATCCACCGCCGTCCCTCCACTTGAAAGAACGATTAGTTCACCCGACCCAACCGGTTTTTTAAACGTGGCAAACATTGCTCTCTCTCCACGCGAAAACACTGTTGATAAATTCAAAAGGGAGCCAGTCATCAATTGTGCAGACTATCTCATCTATGAACCTGCATGTACAACTGCTAACTTAGCGACAGCGAACATCGACCTCTCTCGGTACGCCTTCCACTCGTCTATGGAAAGAATACCCGAGACTGATGGAGAAAGGCTCTTAAGCGTCCATTCGAAGAAGAAACTGCAAAGCGCCGAAGAAAAGAAGAAAGAGCTTAACACACCAGAGAGAAAAACAAGAAAGAGAAGAGAATCCCAAGCAAGTGGTTTGAGAAACGTCGATCTCTTCGACCAGCAAAGACAACATTTGGCCCGTAAAGGTCCACCAGCAAGGGTTTTAGTTTCGTGCAAATTTCCGGAAAGTCGACCCGGAACACCTAACTATTTTAGAAAATCAAGCGCGGTGACTGAAGATCTCTTTTTTCCCAAAATTGTTTTGTACCAGTGGGAAGTCTGTGAGCAACCAAAGATTACTAAAGCTCTCCAATCACGCAAATATCCTATAAGGCTACCTCTGTTACACAAGATTCCTACAGCTCCACAGGACAAGCAGCCTATCGATGGTGATTACAAGGGGCATGAGAATGATGCGAAGAGACCTGAGAGTCCTCTGTCAAAAATACCATACCCACCTCCGCCGACTCCACAGTGCCAAACATGTCCGCCTAGCTCAAAAGGAAATATTGCTGATAAATAAATAATGCAGTGTGGTATAATTATTTCAATTTCAAATAACAAAGAGATACGGCCATTTTTTTTTATTTTCCATTCACCCTACTATCTGACTGACTCATTTACATTTTGCTGTTTTCAAAGAAGGAAATGAAAGAAGAAGTACGAGAGAGAGAGAGAGGGAGAGAGAGATAATGCGAGAGAAGGCAGATGGAAAACGAGAAAAAAAGTAATTGAGTAGAGTGGAAGATTAACAATATGCTTGCCATAACAAATTAATTAAAAAAAAAATTGGTCTGAGCTTTTGATGAAAAATACTTCTAGCTGTAGTTGTGTCATTCACACATAACTTGACTGAGATTAAAACAAAATATATAAAATTTAATGCAAGTATGGAAGTGTAAATGCACCAACTTTGAAAAAGAAATTTTTACCGTACAGGTTCATAAATGTACATCGCTGGAGTACTAAAAGAGTCTTATCTCAGTACAAAAAATCCAACACTGTTTCACTTGAGTCTAATAAATAAGCCAGCCGTCTAGGGCTAATTTTTTTAACTGTGTTACTGATGTAAGGTAATTTCCTAAGCTCAAACATGGTGACATAAATTTGGATCTAAGCATGTATCAACCTGATTTTCTCAGAGATTTTTGTAAAACGTATTACCACCACATAAAACGTCTTTCTTGAATTAAACATACTGTAAGATTTCCTGCCATGTTCTCTCTAAGGTTGCATACAATTCGATAAGAAAGTGATCTCCACATAATACACAGCCCGCACGCAGGTCTTCGTTATGAGTGTTTCGGCGAGAGCGTTTTTCGCCATCATGAAAGTATGATGCTTTGAGCAACGCGAGTTTGCAAGGGAACCACATCTATTACTGATGTGCTAGATCCCGACAAATCTCTCTCCAGACTTCACCGCAAATTCGAAATTCCCGCGGGCGGAGAAACGCGCGGTCTGCAGTACTCGTAATAAGAGCTCGTTCGCAGGCTAGATAAGAAGTACAAATTTCACAACTTTACCTCGCGAAGGTCAATCAGAGAGATCTCCCTTGCTCATAAATATAAATACGTTTGTCTGGCATAGCTAGTCCTGTGGATGAGCTAAACCCAAACAGGCGTCATTAGTGCAAGAACAGTCCCATCATTCAATGGGAAGCGGTATTCAAAATGGCGACAACTTTAGAAAACGCAAACCCGACTATTTTCCTGCAGAAAACAGAGCGGGAAGTTCTCCCTGACGAAGAAAATGAGGATGTTGTGGACAAGATCGATGAACGAGAAGTATTTGATATCCTTTAACAACGGGCTTCTATCATAATTTGATCCGTTATTTTAATGCTTTCGTTCTATCGCCTGAACTGTCACGCTTAAAAGTGACAGTGCCATTTGATTGTTATACATGTACGTCAAGGATTTTTGGTCAATCAAGAGTTTGTTTTTTAGTCCAAAAATTTTAACAAGCCAGCTAGTCTCTTTTTGGTTCGTGACCGAACAGCTGTGAAGACACTCTCTCTCAAAATTAATAGTTAATGTTCAGCTCTTGTTATAAAACAATTTATCGTAGACATGCAACAATGAATCAGTTACTGACAGTCGACATAAAATGATGCTAAGAGCTAGAAAACCACAGAAGTTAAATGCCAACTACAAGCAAATTGTCGGAAAGAGAAAGTAAGATGACCCCCTGTGCTAACTAGAACTTGTATTTGTCTAAAACTGTTGACTTGAATGAATGAAGGAATTAATGAATACCTTTATTTAAGTGTCAAACTGAAATAGCAGTAAAGAATCACTAAATGAGGACACCATGAATAAATTGAAATTAAAATAAACAGTTATTATACCTCTTTAATTAAAATTGATAACACTGTTACAATTGATAAAACGAGTATGTAGTGGATGACATTATTTACATGTGCATAGACTTAATGAAATACTAAAGTGTCTATTAAGTAAGACATAAAATACAATCAGAACATTGAGCATCGGCCAGTAAGGATTTAAATCAAGCTTTCTAATACGCTGCCTAAATACAAATAGTGCAGGAAGGTCTCTTATATTTTGAGGTATTAGACTCCACACCTTTGGGCCAATGTATCTGATGGAATACTTTCCATGTGTAGTTGTATTGAATCTAGGCATGGCAAACTCTTTGTTTCTCTGTGAAAATTTGGTGTTTGCCATTTGGAAAAGGTCTGCAATATATTTTAGGCAAATGTTGTTTTTTGTCTTGTACATAAGAACAGCTATATCCTGTAACCATCTGTTACACAGGGTGCATAGATTAGCTGTATTCAGTAATTTATCATAACTTGATGATCTGTTGCAGTAAATAGCTCTGAGTGCCCTTGTTTGTATATGCTCTAATTTTCTACGGTCACTAGAATGACAGAAGTGTTAAACAAGGTGTGAATAGGTTGACTTGGATGTGACCTGGCAAAAAATTTAAGTGATCTGGCCACAATGATAAAATCCTATTTACCTTTACTGAAGGAACATCTGATTCGTTCTATCAATGATCCTGAACATCCTCTTACTCTGGAGCAGCTGAATGTTGTGGAGCAGTCTTTAGTAGAGGTGGATGATGCAAATAATTATGTGAAAGTTCAGTTCACTCCAACAATTCCTCACTGTAGTATGGCAACCCTGATTGGTTTGGCAATACGAGTCCAGCTTTTAAGATCACTGCCTGAAAGATTCAAGGTGCAATATACTTTATTTATTAGATCTCACTCTGTGCAAATTTAATCCATATTGTAAACACAGATTTCTCCTGTTTGTGTTTAAATCCCTGTGATCTCAACCTGATTGTATTCTGTAATCAAAAGCTTCCTGTGAGGAACTAACTGGTGACATCAATAGAGAAATTATACATCTCTGAAAAGAAATGTTTACTCTACAGCACTAAATTTGTACTCAACCCCTGGTAACCAAGCTTATTCTGCATTTACCTTGGTATTGAAACTTGTTCTTGATGATTTTTTAAGAAATAAGAGAAAAGACAAAACACATTTTTTTAAGAAAGTATGTCAATTTCAGGAATAACTCCAATGATGCGTACCCTGCTACCTATTTCTTTTATGGTATTCGTGATATTTGATTTAAACATTTCTCAAGTAAAAGTTCTCTTACTCACCAGGTACTGATGAGTACTTCTTTAGACAGGTAGTATTCAAGAGTCATGGTCATTTACCTTTAATTTAGTAATATTTTTGAACTTGTTATTTTCCAGGTTGATATCAACATAACCCCTGGTGCCCATGCTTCAGAAGATGCAGGTAATGGTTTTTTTTTCTATGTTTATTCAGTGTAAACTCCTTTAACCCATTTAACCCCTAGGAATGACTAGCATCCAATTTCTCTCTGTAATATTGCCCTTGAATCTAACACTAAGGTCAGGAGAATAGAAGAAATGATCACCAAGTAAAGAAGCTCTTGATTGTTAAACAAATTCTCCTTGGCAGCACTTAAGAAAATGTATAGAGGACAGTATTGAGAATATGCATACTGATGTTAGGTTTTAAAGAGTCAACCCTCTGACCTCTGATAGTGACTAGCATCTTATTTCTCCTTACAATATCACCCTTGAATCTCACATTATGGTCATGAAAATAAAGGAAATGGTCATCAACTGAAAAAGCTGTTGACTGTTAAACAAATTCTCCTTATAAGCACCAGTTAGAAAATGTAGAGAATATACATACTGATGCTAGGGTATAAACTTAAGAGGTAACAGACAGATGTAATGACCACCTGTGCTTATCCCCAATTGAACTCAAATAAAAATTTGCATAGCATGTAATTTAGTGTTAGCAACTGGGTTGAAAACGTAAACTGGCCACCGTAAAGAGTAAAAAAGCTGACATTTCAAGTATTAGCCCTTCGTCAGAGCAATACTCTCCCACAAATGCAGCACCACAGTTTCTTTGGAAACTTACCCCCTTCAAACTTTGCATACCTTGTTACACAGTAGCAATGTCAAAGAAAAAGACAGAAATGAAACAGGAAAAAACTTATGACAAACAAACTGATTAAGAAAATCTTTTTCTCCCATGCCAGGATTAACCTTCTATTAATGATGTTTCCACTGATTCAAAAATAGGTAAAAAGGAGAGGAAATTAAATTGGTTAAAATTTACTTTAATGTGTTAACCATCTCTAGTAGGTGGAAATTGAAACAACAGATTTAGATCATGTGAAGGGGATTTATTTGCTTATCAATTCCTATTTAGCTTTTCTCTCCATTCCTTTTTTTGCTGTTTTTCTATAACGACATATTAGCAACATTCCCCTCAAGCAAGTGGGAATCATGGTTCTCTCTTTTGATGTTTGTGTTGTTACCATGCATTCCCTTGTTCTTTTGTTTCTTCTTCAGTAAACAAGCAGCTGGCTGATAAAGAACGAGTTGCTGCAGCTTTGGAAAACACTCATTTGTTGGAAGTTGTAAATCAGTGCCTCACAGTGCGTCACTGAGGTGGCTTATAATATTTGTAATGGGAACAAACTGTATATGGCTGCAAAAATTGCACTGAGGGATAATCTAGGCAGTTAGTCAGCGTTTCACAGTTTGCTTCGAAGGGTGGCAGCTAAAAATACAATCTACATGTATTTGCCTGACAGTCAGCTTAAATGTGTGAACTCCATCTGATTTGGAAAGTATTACAGTACTGTGGGAACACTAGACTTTCATGATGTTGGCACACCCAAACAGAAGTTCCTCACTCTCCATTTACTTCAACTTTTAAAACATTCTGTGAAAGCAGAGGTTCACTATGCTGCTAGTAATGCTGTGGCTTGATTTAATAAACAGTGGCACAAGATAGGTTATCCCAAACATCCTATATGTAGGATACAGCTGTTGTTTGGTCTAGTCTTTTCACCCAAAGAAAAGGAAAGATTTCACCCACCCCTGGACAGGGGCTTATCATGGTGGGCGGAATTGGAGGGGGGGATTAAATAAACATCTAACTGAGGGTCTATGTGCATATTGTTATTTTTCCCCTGTACTGTCCCCCAAATTTAATGAATAAAATACAAAAACCTATTATGTTTAAAATGGAAACTACAGCTGGGTTCTAATTCTAAGTCAATTTTGTACAGCAAGCAATCTACCTAGTCTGATTAAAAGATAATAAACCAACCACTTTACCTTTGTTGACTATAGGGAATAGAGAGGAGTAGTCACAGGCTGTATATCTAACGTCTCTTTTTATTATAAGACATACTCTTATCGTTGTACATAACACTTTATGAAAAAGTCATGTTGAAAAAGCTCATTAATACTTGTACTACTAACTCAATGGTATGAGAGTTACAAATTAAGAACTTTTAAATCCTTACATACACTGTACATGTAACAATCTCAGTTTGCAAAATGTATGAACCACATTTACTTGCTCATGTATGTACAAAGAATGTTTTATGTTTGAAAAGGCTATTTAGCCGTAGTTAATCAGATTTAAATATATAATACATGTACAAGATATCAGAATAAATAAGTTGTATTACTTAAAGACTATGATCAAAGTTCTGTAAATTGTTAAACCATTTAAAATATCTTCATAGTCAAATAAGTATGAGGAACCGTTGTTCACACAAAAAATGCAGCACTTAAACAAAGCTTAAGAATGAAAATTCACTGAAAACCTCATTGTCTAAAATTCTTTTTCTTTCTCTGGAATCACTACAAACACAACACACTCTCTAATGATACTGAATAAATGAAAATGAATAACAAAGAGGACATCAAATTGTTCTTAATTAATGCACGATAATGTTCAACATGGAGAGATCCTGCAGAAATTGGCCTACTGGCATTGGTCCAAAGAAGTTAGTTATTAACAAAAGTACCACAACATCATAAAATTACAATATCAGCTAATCTGTTTGACTTAAAAGCTTGAGAAATCATCTATGGTCTCTAAATTAACTGTGCAAGTATGCACAACTCAGAGGGCTGTGGATTAATGTCAACTGTTTGGAAGCACTTGGGATGTATAAGAAACTGGAAAAAGAATCAGAAGCTCAAATACAGCACTTCTCTTGGGTTTGCATTCATATCATATCCTGCAGCTTACATGACACAATATGACTTTCAGAACAACAATGCACTTCCTAATTGTAGCTATGGTTAACAGGTTAATTTAGTATTATCAACTTAGTTGATAACGTAAGTTGGCTGCTGTAAAGAGTTTCAAAGCTGATGTTTGGAGTGTTAGCCCTTCCTCAGAGCAAATGGCAAAGAGATAACTCTTGAAACATCAGCTTTAAAACTCTTTATGGAGGCCAATTTACGCTATCAACTCATTTGATGCAGCACCACGGTTTAACAAAATCCTTTGAAGTTTATGCTAATTTCTATGGAATCCCAGTACTATAGTGAATATCTTAATGTCCTAAGATAATATAATTTTTTGAATTGATACATGAGGTAGTTATAGAAGGCTTTCAGCATTGAATATATTCTTAACTTACAGAAAACTATTTGACCACATTTCAAGCACAGTTTTTTTTCATCCTACTATCAATATAACCAGTTTTTATGCTATTGGAAGTCTCAAAATTGTACCAGTTCTCATACTGGTTGTGGCAGATAATTTCCGTTCTGGCAATCCATCCGAGGCAACCACTGGTGAATCATTAGTGCTGGCAACTGTAAATGTTTGCTCAGCATCCAGTGCAAAATGAGCTGTTACCATCTTCTGACCCACAGACAGAAATGGATCAGGCTTTTTCCTGAAAGAAAAAAGAAATAAAACATTCATCAGCCAAATAATAATTTTCTAAATATCATTGTAATTGTATCTCTCGATGTGAATCACTTAAACTACACATATTTCTGATACAAATATGTGAATTTGCTCATTTCTTACCAACAAAAATGACAGACATTGGATGAAAAAGTTTGCATTAAAAAGACAAGAGATGAATTGTGTTTATGTACACTGTTATTGTCTCATTATAATTTCTTAGAAACATTATTTAATTCTGCTGGGCTTGGCTGCAATAACTGTTTCAGAATAAAACTTAAGCTACCTTAGCAAAGGAAAAGCTGTAAGGTTAACATTTCAAAAATTCTGTGAAAAATTGACCAATAAGAAGAATTCCCTGCCAGTTTGAAGTTTTGATTTGGAAATAAATGAAAATAACCGGTTGAGAGTAATTTTAAAAACATGCATGTTTAACAGTCTTACAAAGCTGTGCTCTATTAAGAATCACTGAGTGCCTGAAGACTCTTGCTTAAAAACTTTGGGGGTTCCTTGTTCAAGAAAGCTTTAATACAAATTAGGGTGTACAAGTAATCATACAGGTTGCTTAAAAGTAAAAGTTAGAAGTCTGTGAGACTTGGGTTCATGACTGGAGCACAAGAACAGCCCTGCTTCACTGCAATTTCTACATAAAACAATCATATAGGACATGCACATAAACTACATAGATCAGTGGTACACTCAAAAAATAGTTTCACTCACATTATGGGAGGAAGACCAATTCTCTTGCAGTGTTGCCATCTCTCAACAAATTGTCGAGACAGTTTCACTTTTCCTGCATGAAACTGAATCACTTCATAAAGAAAAGGATCATGCCGGCACAAACTTAGAAGCTGTCTTTCCCCAATACTGTCATAGCTCAAGTAACCCAGGGCAACTGCAGCTGCTGCCTGTACAGTTTCATACTGTGATGTCAACAGTTTGCCCAGTATGGGGATAGTTCCTATGGAGATAATGGCACCTGGAATTCCTGCTCTTGAATGAGCAAGTCCTCCAATAAAATTTGCAGCAGCACATTGGATGTCTTCTGTAGTTGAGTCAAGAAGTGACACCAACATTTTAATTCCAGTTGCTGAGGTCAAAGATTGGTCCTCATCTGGAATGATCCGGGATAAAACCACCACTTGAAATGCTGTATAGGTAGCTAACCTTTCATTTTTCTGCTCCAAGAATGGGACAAAGCTGTGGTACCTTACTCCCCCAGACACTGCAATATTTCTTTGGTTGGCCACATTATTGTAAGCAAAAACAGAGAGTGCAGCTCCAGCAAGAAGGTGCACCTCTTCATCATCATCATAAAGCTGTCGCAAAATATGAACAAAGCTGAAGTCTTTATGATCCAGTGTTGCTTTCATGTTGGTAGAGTTTCTCAAACAAACACAGCCAAGAGTATAGGCAGCTTCTGCTTTGATAATGTCCTGTCTTGCTTGCACCATGTATCTGATCAGAAATTTCAAGCCCCCTTCTCTGGTAACAGCATCTTGATTTTGGATATGAGGTCTGAAGCTAAGGCAGAGACACAGTGCGCGTAATGTCTGTAGCACACTTAGGATAATGTATGCTGGTGTGTGGGATTTCCCCAAAAGACGAACCAATGGCATCACACCATTTGCTTGAGCAATTTCATCCCTTTTGTTTCTGACTCCCTCTGCAAGAACACCAAGAGCTTCTGAGCCAATGAAGTGTAAGCTCTGAGGTAAATTCTCAGATAGAAATTCAATGAGGAGGTTAATCCCAATTTCAGCTGCAATGGACCGTCTCTGTGCATTCTTTTCCCCAGCAATTGCCCAGAGTGCTCCTGCTGTGAGTGTTCTTAAATCAGCTGCTCTGGATCGCTTCAACAGTCGCATCAGCATCATAACGCATCCATGTTCTGTTACAATTCTCTGATTACCCTCATTACCTTCTGCTAGTGCATGAATTCCTTCAACTGAAGCAAATTGACATTCTCTTGATCGCAATCGCATCAATTCCATCAATGGCTGTACTCCATTTTTAGCCACAAATGCATTTTGATTAGCCATGTTTCCCTTGACAATAGCACCCACTGTTTTTGCCACAGCAGCTAGCACATGTTTGTTTTTCACTGTTGTTAGCAAGCTGACCAGTGAGTTCCATATTTCATTATTACTCCCCACAGTTGCTTGTACCTCAGAATTTGAGATGGATAACACTCTTAATGTACTTAGGGCTGATTCCACCACCTCTTCGTCCTCGGTGTGCTGGAGTAACCTCACCAACGATTCTATTCCACCATTGTTAACTGTAGCCTCTTTGTTGTCATCATTATATGCCAAGGCCTCAAGCAGCCTTGTAGCAGGAAGATAAACATCTCGTGGGGTGTCGGTAAGTTGTAAAATAATTGGAGGAACAGCTTTGCTTTTAGAAAGTTGTTCCTTACCTCTTTCGTCCTTAACAAGATTCAGCAACACAGAAAGAGCAAATATATTTGACTCTATGCTGGATAATGAATTTTTCAATAATCCTAAGAGAGCTTGGACTCCTCCGGCATTTAAAAACGATTCTAAATGATCAGAGTTTCCCTCACTCGTAAGTTCCACTAGTGCTTTAGCGCACGATGTCTCCAGATCACTTACCGACAGACCACGAATAAGATTTTTCCACACTTCGAGATCTGGACTGTCCAACTTTAAAAGATACTCCAAAACGCCAATGTGATCCTTCAATGCTGCAAGCTCCACAGCGCCAAACAGTTTTCGATCTTTAGCCTTGAGATTAGCACCCAACTCTTCCGCCAGAAGTTGTACGGTGTCAACATGGCCGTTCATACACGCTAGTAGAAATGGAGTCAGCTGTTGTCCATCTTGAGTCTCAAGCTCTAATTGGTCCTCTCTGGATTTTATGAAACGACTAACACTCTTGTAATAGCCATTGTAAGCTGCGTGATGTACATGAGCCCAACCATTTTCATCAAATTCATCCATGTTTACATAAGCCGAGCTGGACCACTCAACTCGAAGACACAACGGGGCTCGTCCGAAAGCTCAAAATTGTATTTTTATAAAGGTGTAATCCAACCACAAAATACCTTGAAAGCCAGATAAAAAGACATTTCGCTGGATCAAGGTACCTATGATCTCATTCCTGGTTCAGATTTTATGAAATCCTCAAGTGTTGTCAATCGAGCTGTTCAGTTGCTAACGAAGGTTGCTACGCACTTGAAAAGAACGATCAATCGCCAAGTCAACTTCAGTGTTACAATAGAAAGCACTAAGTCACCATGAAATCCGTTTATCTCCTATATAAGCTAAAATTTCTCACTAATTCGAAACACATTTCCCATTTCTCGACAAAAATACTGCGTGGGAATGCGCAGAAACAGCATTGAAGAATTTACCTAGCAGATAACCTTTCAAACGAATCATAAATTAAAATGAGTAAGACAATGTGATTGGTCAGTTGTATTGATTGTTCTCTTTGTTCGTCGGAGTAGTCAGATCTGGTTTAAACTCCTCATTTAAGTCATTCATTACAAGGCTTATCATTTACCCAGAAGTCATCTTTGCCAAATTACTATTAGTATCAATATTTTTACTAATTTTGAGGGTCTTCAGGGTCCAGTTGTATGAAGGGCGGATAACGTTATCCAACGGATAAATTGCTTTCCGGCGGATAAGTGATAGCAAAACGAATAGCTTTATCCACCGGATAGAGATTTATCCTATGGATAGCGTTTTACAACCTTCGCACATTCGAGGCCAGATGTTTTACAAGGTGAAGCTCAGTTTGTCGCCTGCGGAAGAAGAGGGGGGAGGGGGGGAGGGGGAGTTGGAGAATTTTGGCTCTGTCGTGATTAAATCTACCTGAACCTTCATTAATGCTCTCTTATGTATTCTCTAGCTGCCTGTTGTTAAGTAAATCTGAGGAAATCAATTACAAGATAGATGGTATCGATACACTCGACGTAACCTAAAAAATGGTGTCTGGGTTAAGACGGATGTTTTGGTTTAAAATGAGAGGACCATGAAATGTTTCAGAAGTCTACTAAGTTAGTACACATAGCTTGCGATTGGGGCCTTGGAGTGCTGATACATATAAGACAAGGCCAGGACGCATAATTTTTTTGCGTCCACTGTTCTATAAACTCAAACGGAAACTTAAAATCATATATTAAATTACAACCGCACCCCACCCCACTCCATGCCCCAGCTTGCATTAAGCGGTTGACTTTCTTAGACCCTAGGCATCTTTCAAATGAAGCCGTCTTTGCTAAAAAGAAAAAAAAACATGTCACTCGGGTCAAAGAGGAGGAGAAATTTTTTACCGCTATGCAAATGCGAAAAGGGAACAAAAACGTGTTGCAGAGGTAGAATTTGAAATAATTAGCGATCATTAGTGCGTGCGAATATTTTGCGCCTTTGAACGTAAAACTACTTGAATTCCACTAAGTTTTTTTTACTGTCATGCGCACCTCATCCAAAATGGTAATTTTTGAATTTTTTAACGGTGACTGTTTACTTTATGACGCTGAAAAAGGACGGATTCATTAGATATCCTTCATGTCACCGTTACATTTGATGACTGTCTTTTTTATTCCTGGTGGACGATAGCTAAAAACATCTTGCAGTTCTTTTAACAGTCAAGATGCGAGACTTGGACGAGTTTTGTCAAAACTTTTATGATAAAACTCTTGCGAACTGATCACGCTTCAAATTCAAACTTCACGAAAAGTTCACAACTTCCAACAGCATTGGGCTAGTTTGAAGCGTTTGTTAGTATTGGAACTCCAGGTTACAACACGGTAAATGAAACAATTTGTTATCAGAAAGTTGCTGCGTGTTAAAATGTCACACCGAAGGAATAGCAAACAAGTGTGGGACATAGATGGGCAGAAAGTTTCCAACTTTATACGATTCAATGGTTGTCGTAGAATGCATATTAATGTGCTCAAACAACGTTTCCTAGATTTCGATGTTATTAGAAACATCACGTTACCTATATCTAATTTTAAACAAAATTTCATATTATATTTTATATAAAAACAGAGTAGATGTAAACGAATGACGTAACATCATATAAACTTAATCATATAAACTTTATCATATAAACTACGGTGTTATACAAAGACCACTCTCTGGGACTGTTGCCTCGTCGTGGCTGAGTGGCTTGTGCGTCCCAGCGACTCCAAGAGCTATGCCGGCGGGGGTGTTTACACCCCTGGTAGGGCCTCCCAAGCCGGAAAGGTCAAGGCGTGGGGTCCAGACCAAAGACAGTCCCACGGCCCTCCAGGCATGGGGGTTAGGCTTAAGGCTAACAACCTTATCCTGCAAAAAGAATTTATTACAGAAACAGCAACGAAGACAACCAATATCCTGCACGCACACCTTCCAAGGTCTTCGAACCGTATGACTACCAGTGGTGAAAGCCAGAAGGAAACTATTAGCATGAAATTGGAAATGATGAGTGTAAAAACCAAGACCAGGATTGGTTTTTGGAATGTACGTACCATGTACGAAACTGGGAAGCTTGCACAGGTTACAACAGAAATGAGACGGTATAACTTGCATGTATTGGGCGTAAGTGAAAGCAGATGGATTGGGACAGGGAGATTAAAGACGGTGTCAGGCGAGACGGTATTGTATTCTGGGCGGGATGATGAGTTACATCGTGAAGGCGTGGCAATTATTCTGAAGAAAGGATCCCGGAGCAGATAGATCGCTGTTGGAATGGAAACCTATTAATAGTCGCCTCATAAAGGCCAGGCTGAAAGGAAAGCAAAATAACTTGACCCTGATTCAATGTTACGCTCCGACCAATGATAGTGAAGATGATATGGAAGACAAATTCTATCTCAGGCTCCAGGCAGAGATTGAGCAGGTCCCAATGCAAGATCTTATCATCATCATGGGGGATCTAAATGCCAAAGTTGGTGCCGATAACTCAGGCATTGACAGAGTGATGGGAAGACACGGGAGTGGCATCATCAATGAAAATGGAGAAAGGCTTGTTGAGTTTTGCACAACTAATAATCTGGTGATAGGGGGCACCCTTTTTCCACACCGAGAGATCCATAAAATCACATGGTGTTGCCTGAATGGCAGGGATAGAAATCAAATTGACCACCTGTTGATCAATGGAAAATGGCGGAGATCCCCTCGGGATGTAAAGGTAAAGAGAACAGCTGACATTGGAAGTGACCACCATCTTGTAACAGCTTGCCTTAAACTGAAATTAAAGAGTGCAGGGCGTCTAACCAAGGGGCGCAGCCGTTTCGATGTGAGCCAACTGAAACACCCAAATGTACGAAAATCTTTTATCCTGGAGGTGCGGAACAGATTCGAGGCTCTTGTGGAACTAAACGGAAGGGAGGATATTAACGATGAAGGGGTGAACAAGAACTGGGAAAAAATTGTTACTGCTTACAATGATAGAAGCAAAACATGTCCAGGCTGCAGGCAGCGGAAGCCAAAGGAATGGATGTCATCTGATACCTGGAAAGCAATTGAAAGTAGACGGAGATTAAAGAAGAAATTTATGGACTCGAAATCCCAACGGCTTATAGAAAGACATCAAGAGATGTGTCGGGCAGCGAACAAAGAGGTGAAACGCCGAACAAGAGCAGATAAACGGAAGTACATAGAGAACCTTGCATCCCAGGCGGAGGAGGCAGCTGCGCGCAATGAGCAAGGAACAGTATATAAGGTCACCAAGATCATAACAGGTAAATGCCATACAACCAACGTGCTTGTAAAGGACAAGAACGGTATCTTATTAACATCAGAGGGAGAGCAGCAACGGCGCTGGACGAAGCACTTTAGAGAGCTTTTAAACAGACCACCACCACCAACAGTAGTGCCAAACATCCAGGAAGCCGCAACCGACCTTGACATCAGCACAGACGTTCCAACTAGAGGGAAATCACCCAAGCCATTACTTCCCTGAAGAATGGAAAAGCTCCTGGCCATGATAATCTAAATGCTGAGCTGTTTAAAGCAGACCCTGAGCTTGCTGCAACCATTCTGACCACCTTGTTTACAAAGATCTGGGAGCAGGAAGAAATTCCGACAGATTGGAGCAGAGGAGTGATAATCAAGATACCAAAGAAAGGTTCTTTAAGTGATTGTAACAACTGGCGAGGAATTACCCTTTTGTCTGTGCCGAGTAAAATCTTTTGCAAGGTCATTATACAGCGCATCACCCAAGCTGTTGACGACCTCCTGCGGAACGAGCAATCTGGATTTCGCAAGGGGCGTGGATGTACGGATCATATTTTCACACTGCGGAACATACTTGAGCAATGTACTGAGTGGAACAGGGAGT